GAGAGGACTCTTTAAAGTAGAGACACTACATACTGATATACACCTGAACATCAGCAGGAGAGGACTCTTTAAAGTAGAGACACTACATACTGATATACACCTGAACATCAGCAGCAGAGGACTCTTTAAAGTAGAGACACTACATACTGATATACACCTGAACATCAGCAGGAGAGGACTCTTTAAAATAGAGACACTACATACTGATATACACCTGAACATCAGCAGGAGAGGACTCTTTAAAGTAGAGACACTACATACTGATATACACCTGAACATCAGCAGCAGAGGACTCTTTAAAGTAGAGACACTACATACTGATATACACCTGAACATCAGCAGGAGAGGACTCTTTAAAGTAGAGACACTACATACTGATATACACCTGAACATCAGCAGGAGAGGACTCTTAAAGTAGAGACACTACATACTGATATACACCTGAACATCAGCAGGAGAGGACTCTTTAAAGTAGAGACACTACACACTGATATACACCTGAACATCAGCATGAGAGGACTCTTTAAAGTAGAGACACTACATACTGATATACACCTGAACATCAGCAGGAGAGGACTCTTTAAAGTAGAGACACTACACACTGATATACACCTGAACATCAGCAGGAGAGGACTCTTTAAAGTAGAGACACTACATACTGATATACACCTGAACATCAGCAGGAGAGGACTCTTTAAAGTAGAGACACTACATACTGATATACACCTGAACATCAGCAGGAGAGGACTCTTTAAAGTAGAGACACTACATACTGATATACACCTGAACATCAGCAGCAGAGGACTCTTTAAAGTAGAGACACTACATACTGATATACACCTGAACATCAGCAGGAGAGGACTCTTTAAAGTAGAGACACTACATACTGATATACACCTGAATATCAGCAGGAGAGGACTCTTTAAAGTAGAGACACTACATACTGATATACACCTGAACATCAGCAGGAGAGGACTCTTTAAAGTAGAGACACTACATACTGATATACACCTGAACATCAGCAGCAGAGGACTCTTTAAAGTAGAGACACTACATACTGATATACACCTGAACATCAGCAGGAGAGGACTCTTTAAAGTAGAGACACTACATACTGATATACACCTGAACATCAGCAGCAGAGGACTCTTTAAAGTAGAGACACTACATACTGATATACACCTGAACATCAGCAGGAGAGGACTCTTTAAAGTAGAGACACTACATACTGATATACACCTGAACATCAGCAGGAGAGGACTCTTTAAAGTAGAGACACTACATACTGATATACACCTGAACATCAGCAGCAGAGGACTCTTTAAAGTAGAGACACTACATACTGATATACACCTGAACATCAGCAGGAGAGGACTCTTTAAAGTAGAGAGACACTACATACTGATATACACCTGAACATCAGCAGGAGAGGACTCTTTAAAGTAGAGACACTACACACTGATATACACCTGAACATCAGCAGGAGAGGACTCTTTAAAGTAGAGACACTACATACTGATATACACCTGAACATCAGCAGGAGAGGACTCTTTAAAGTAGAGACACTACATACTGATATACACCTGAACATCAGCAGGAGAGGACTCTTTAAAGTAGAGACACTACATACTGATATACACCTGAACATCAGCAGGAGAGGACTCTTTAAAGTAGAGACACTACACACTGATATACACCTGAACATCAGCAGGAGAGGACTCTTTAAAGTAGAGACACTACATACTGATATACACCTGAACATCAGCAGGAGAGGACTCTTTAAAGTAGAGACACTACATACTGATATACACCTGAACATCAGCAGGAGAGGACTCTTTAAAGTAGAGACACTACATACTGATATACACCTGAACATCAGCAGGAGAGGACTCTTTAAAGTAGAGACACTACATTCTGATATACACCTGAACATCAGCAGGAGAGGACTCTTTAAAGTAGAGACACTACATACTGATATACACCTGAACATCAGCAGGAGAGGACTCTTTAAAGTAGAGACACTACATACTGATATACACCTGAACATCAGCAGGAGAGGACTCTTTAAAGTAGAGACACTACATACTGATATACACCTGAACATCAGCAGGAGAGAACTCTTTAAAGTAGAGACACTACATACTGATATACACCTGAACATCAGCAGGAGAGAACTCTTTAAAGTAGAGACACTACATACTGATATACACCTGAACATCAGCAGGAGAGGACTCTTTAAAGTAGAGACACTACATACTGATATACACCTGAACATCAGCAGGAGAGGACTCTTTAAAGTAGAGACACTACATACTGATATACACCTGAACATCAGCAGGAGAGGACTCTTTAAAGTAGAGACACTACATACTGATATACACCTGAACATCAGCAGGAGAGGACTCTTTAAAGTAGAGACACTACATACTGATATACACCTGAACATCAGCAGGAGAGGACTCTTTAAAGTAGAGACACTACATACTGATATACACCTGAACATCAGCAGGAGAGGACTCTTTAAAGTAGAGACACTACATACTGATATACACCTGAACATCTGCAGGAGAGGACTCTTTAAACACGTAAAGAGTTTTATCAGATCATACTTCAGGAGCTTTTGTTCTTTAAGTGAGTGTTTTATATTTAAAGTGAAGATCAGAGTCAGAACAGGTGGCATTCCTCCACTTCTCTATATTAATGAGATTCTTTTCATTTCTAATGAATTCCTCCAATATGCCCGGGGGAGGGCGGAGGGTCTTTGTTGGATAATAATGGGAGGGGGGGGGGAGGCAGATGGCCGACAGGACGTGAAGACAAAAGTGAGTAAGAGTTTCTCCGTCTGAGCGAGAAGACACAACACAGGGAAGATGGGGGGGGGGGGTCAGTTTGCACATCAACCTGATATGAAATATAGATCTTGGCGCACAAATAATAAAGTAAACAAAGACCTGGCACGCAGTTATCGGTCAAAGAGCTAAACTCTTTGTGTTTTCTGAAGGCACTTGACTTGTGTTAACTTGACCTGATCTTGTCTTTGCAGCCGCTTCATTTGTACTGGTCTCTAGCAGTAGATGAACTCGGACTTGTCCCTGACGTGTTTCATCTCAAAGTGTTTTCACTTGGAATTGTGTCTCGTCTCTTTCCTTCGGTTTGAACTGTAGCTTGTTTTGATGTTGTTGGTGTTTTGACAGGAAACTGTCTTTGTCTGATCTTCAGTTTGACTCAGACTCGTCTCTAATAAGCGTTCGATCTCAGACTCTCTTTATCTTGTGGACTTGGACTTGTTTTAACTCGGACTTGTCTCGGCTTTGTGTTGGCGTTTTATTTAAACGTGTCTCGGTACATTGACTCAACCTTGCCTCTTCTCATTGGTGTTTGGACTCAAAATGTTCTTTGTGTTCGTTCGACTTGTGTCTTCTTCTCTCTCCTTGGGTTTTAACTCGTCTTGGGGTTGTTGGTGTTTTGACTGTAAAATGTCTTCATCTGATCTGCATTTTGACTCGGACTCGTCTCTCTAATGAGTTATTTTTTAGAAAAGGGAATAAAAACTGTTTTTGAGTTCAGCTAGGAACACTTGTTGAATTAAAATATTCCCTCAGTGGGGAAATCTCGTCTCCCAGCTGTCCAGGTTTCAATGGGGGGGGTCAGATGTGTTTGGGTTCATTGTGCTGCCCCCCCCCCCTCTCTGTTAGCGCTCTGTTAGCACACTGAAGCTCCAGTCCGCCGTGCCCTTTGACCTCTCAGGAAGTAAGCCTCAGAGCTCCTGATTCTGCAGAAGGCATGTGTTTCAATAACCAACGAGTGTTTTTAAGGGTTATTTATTGCTGCTGGAGGAAGAGCTTTGGTCAGACCTGCTCACAGGTTCTGAGAAAGTCCTGGATAAGTCCTGTTGTCATACAGCAGGACATGCATCTGCATCCTTTATAGCAGGCCTGAAGACACATCTATGTTGATATCAAAATGGTCTCAAGGTTTGAAGTCTATTTTCAGAAAACAACTCAAACCAACCTGTCAGTCTCCGTCTCCAGTCTGCACTTCTGAATCTTTATTGTGTTGATCGGGCTTTTCTCGGACTCGTTGACGTTTCTTTTACTCGAACTCGTCTCGTCTTGTTGGTGTTGGCTCTGACTTGGACTTGTGTCTTTCCTTGGCTTTTAACTCTGACTTGTCTCAGCGTTGTTGGTGTTTTGGATGGAAATTATCTTGTCAGACTCGTCTCTAATAAGCGCTTAGTCTTAGACTTGTTGTCTTGAGGACACTGGACTCGCTTATCTTCACTTGTTTAACTCGGACTTCTCTTGGCTTTGTGGGTGTTTTACTTACTAGAAATGGTCTTTTTCATTTGTCCGTTAGCCTTGGACTTGTGTCTCGTCTCTTTCCTTGGCTTTTAACTCTGACTTCTCTTGGCGTTGTTGGTGTTTTGACTCGTGTTCGACTAGAAATGATCTTTTGTCTGCATGCATTTTGACTCGGACTCGTCCCTTATGAGCGTTTAGTCTCAGGCACTGGACTTTTATTAACTCAGACTTGTCTTTGTGGCAGTTTTATTTGTACTTTCATCTTTTTTGACTGGGTCTAGTGCATTGACTTGTCTCTGGAGTGTGTTTGGTGTTTTGACCGGCTGTTTTATCGCTAAAGACAAACACAATGGATATTCACGGAGCTGATGGCAGACTGAAATAAGTATATACTCGTGCAGTTTTACACACTGGGCTTCTGTGTTAGAAACATGCTGAACTACACACTTCCTCCCCGGGAAACATGTGGAAACTGAAGCTGGGGTGAGGCGCTGCAGCTTCTTAAAATAGCAGCGGTGATGATCTCAGAGAAAATCACTCGACATTCCTGCAAAACCAAAATAAACAGTGGACAGAAAAGTCTGGTTTAACGTCATGGAAGAGGGGAAGAAAGAGGGGAGGAGAGAGGGGAGGGGGGAGGCTATACAAAAGCTGAGTGTGCCTGAAGCCCCTCCCTTCCTCTGTTCTCCCCTCAGAGAGGAGGGGGAGGAGGGAGGAGCAGCTGGAGGCTCAGAAGAGAGGAGGACGAGCATGAAGGAGCTTCACTGAGCAGCAAACACACAACGGTAAAAACTTTCTTCCTTTTGTATCCATCTGCCCGTCTGGGACTGCTTTGGTACTTTGAGGGAAATGAGTTACGTGCACTGTTTGAGTTAAATACCTACGACGTAAAACAAGAGGACACTGGTTGAACCAAACAAGAAGGAAGAGGGGAGGCGTGTGGCGCAGTGCATAGTGCGTTGGTGTTGGGATCAGGGGGTCACAGGTTCAAACCCCACTGCTGTCAGCATGTCGTTGTGTCCCTGAGACGCTTCACCCCAAAGTGCTCCTGTGGGGATTGTCCTCAGTACTGAGTATGTGAGTCGCTTTGGATAAAAGCGTCTAACAAGTGACATGTGATGTACTGAATACTTGAAATCATAACTGTAGTTTGTGGGAGCAGCAGTAGAAATACGTACAGAGGTGATAGTACTGCTCGTTTCAGTCCTTGTTGTGGTAGTAGTTGTAGAAGAAGTAGTTCCTGTCACAGCTGTATTCACTTCTGTTCATGCACCTTCATCATGGCTTTGTTTTAGGGTTTTTAATATGAAAGAAATGGGTTTTAAATCCTTTAGATATCTGTGAGAGAAATATCATTTCAAATCAGTTTGCAGATGTTCATCTTAATGCATGTGTTTTATTGAAATACCTACGGCATGTTGTCTAAAAGAGGAAACAGTTTGACCCAAATGAAGAGGAAGACTTTAAATCAGATGTAAATAAATCATAACTTTGTAGGAGCAGCAGTAGAAAGAGGTTGTAGTACTGATATATAGTTCTTGTTGTAGTAGTAGTTCCTGTAACACCTTTATTTACTTCTGTTCATGCACCTTCATTATGGCTTTGTTTGTTGATTACTGTCTTATAGTGTCAGTGATCTTGATCTGAGATAGTACGGAGGCCTACAGGTGCCAACTCGCAGTGGCGGCGCTAGGGGGTAGCTACTTGGGCTCAAGCCCCGTATGTTTTCTGAAAAGCCCCGGATGTTTCATTTTTTTTTTTAAAAACGTCTCGCGAGTAATGTGCAGTACCGGAGTCCACCAGAGAGGCAGCCACTGCGGGACATTAGCCTGCGTACTGCGTAGCCTGCCCTGAAGAAGAAGTGATCCTTCCTAGTGCCTGACGAGTTTTAAGCTAATAGCCTATACAGTTATGGATATTAGAAAGTTATTGTCATCGAAGCAGCCGGCGCCACAAGCTGCAGCAGCAGCAGTATCAGCAGCTGACAACAATGTCATCACCAGCAGTGAAGAAATGGATGATGTTTCAAGTTTGTGAATCTAATGGTGATATCTGCACTCTGGCTGACTGAGCAAGAAGTGAAGAAGAGTGGACATGGAGTAACCACACTAAGTATACCCTTATATGTTAGTCTGTATACAGAACATGACTAAAAGTTATCCTAAGATGTAACGTTAACCCTTCATACCTCAGTCTACTTTTAAGACACTAAAATAACGTATTCCAATTTGTATTTTGTTTTCGTGCGTGGAATTATACCGGCTCTCGTTTCAGTACACATAACAACGGAACTGACAGGCAACCCTCTGAATCAGACTCCGATTGGCTGTGACTGCATCCACTCAGAGTGTCCGATTCAGAAACGTGACTCTTACACTCTTTACGTCACAAACAAAGATGGTGGACGAGAATATATCTATAAAACGATAAGCAATGCGCCAGAATCAAGGTGAGACTATCCGCACCCTTTAAAACTCTACGCACATTCGTTTCACCGAAATAAGTAAACGACTATTTGAGTGAGTTAAGGCATTAGTTTGCTTCATTAAAGGGTGTTAATGAGTGTTCTCCAGTGCCTTTTGTCCGCTTTAAGGTGTTATTAAGGTTAATGTTGCTCTCAGAGTGCACCAGATTGATGCTTTCAACTTCAATATCTTCCCCCCCAACCCAACAACTCCTGGGCTAAGCCCCGGATCTCCTACAATCCTAAATCCGCCACTGGCGCTAAAACTCCTCCATCAGGAGAAACAGCTTCAGAAAGGATGCAGATATAAAAACCCAAAAGTTCCACATGAAGAAACATCTCCAGCAACTTGACAACACATGAGAGTGACGCACACAGCTCGAGACCAGGGGACACTAAAGAGTGACGCACACAGCTGGAGACCAGGGGACACTAAAGAGTGACGCACACAGCTGGAGACCAGGGGACACTAAAGAGTGACGCACACAGCTGGGAGACCAGGGGACAGTAAAGAGTGACGCACACAGCTGGAGACCAGGGGACACTAAAGAGTGACGCACACAGCTGGGAGACCAGGGGACAGTAAAGAGTGACGCACACAGCTGGAGACCAGGGGACAGTAAAGAGTGACGCACACAGCTGGAGACCAGGGGACACTAAAGAGTGACGCACACAGCTGGAGACCAGGGGACAGTAAAGAGTGACGCACACAGCTGGAGACCAGGGGACACTAAAGAGTGACGCACACAGCTGGAGACCAGGGGACACTAAAGAGAGACGCACACAGCTGGAGACCAGGGGACAGTAAAGAGTGACGCACACAGCTGGAGACCAGGGGACACTAAAGAGTGACGCACACAGCTGGAGACCAGGGGACACTAAAGAGTGACGCACACAGCTGGAGACCAGGGGACACTAAAGAGTGACGCACACAGCTGGAGACCAGGGGACACTAAAGAGTGACGCACACAGCTGGGAGACCAGGGGACACATGAGAGTGACGCACACAGCTGGAGACCAGGGGACACTAAAGAGTGACGCACACAGCTGGAGACCAGGGGACACTAAAGAGTGACGCACACAGCTGGAGACCAGGGGACACTAAAGAGTGACGCACACAGCTGGGAGACCAGGGGACAGTAAAGAGTGACGCACACAGCTGGAGACCAGGGGACACTAAAGAGTGACGCACACAGCTGGGAGACCAGGGGACAGTAAAGAGTGACGCACACAGCTGGAGACCAGGGGACAGTAAAGAGTGACGCACACAGCTGGAGACCAGGGGACACTAAAGAGTGACGCACACAGCTGGAGACCAGGGGACAGTAAAGAGTGACGCACACAGCTGGAGACCAGGGGACACTAAAGAGTGACGCACACAGCTGGAGACCAGGGGACACTAAAGAGAGACGCACACAGCTGGAGACCAGGGGACAGTAAAGAGTGACGCACACAGCTGGAGACCAGGGGACACTAAAGAGTGACGCACACAGCTGGAGACCAGGGGACACTAAAGAGTGACGCACACAGCTGGAGGACCAGGGGACACTAAAGAGTGACGCACACAGCTGGAGACCAGGGGACACTAAAGAGTGACGCACACAGCTGGGAGACCAGGGGACACTAAAGAGTGACGCACACAGCTGGAGACCAGGGGACACTAAAGAGTGACGCACACAGCTGGAGACCAGGGGACACTAAAGAGTGACGCACACAGCTGGGAGACCAGGGGACACTAAAGAGTGACGCACACAGCTGGAGACCAGGGGACACTAAAGAGTGACGCACACAGCTGGAGACCAGGGGACACTAAAGAGTGACGCACACAGCTGGGAGACCAGGGGACACTAAAGAGTGACGCACACAGCTGGAGACCAAGGGACACTAAAGAGTGACACACACAGCTGGAGACCAGGGGACACTAAAGAGTGACGCACACAGCTGGAGACCAGGGGACACTAAAGAGTGACGCACACAGCTGGGAGACCAGGGGACACTAAAGAGTGACGCACACAGCTGGAGACCAGGGGACACTAAAGAGTGACGCACACAGCTGGAGACCAGGGGACACTAAAGAGTGACGCACACAGCTGGGAGACCAGGGGACACTAAAGAGTGACGCACACAGCTGGAGACCAGGGGACACTAAAGAGTGACACACACAGCTGGAGACCAGGGGACACTAAAGAGTGACGCACACAGCTGGAGACCAGGGGACACTAAAGAGTGACGCACACAGCTGGAGACCAGGGGACACTAAAGAGTGACGCACACAGCTGGGAGACCAGGGGACACTAAAGAGTGACGCACACAGCTGGAGACCAGGGGACACTAAAGAGTGACACACACAGCTGGAGACCAGGGGACACTAAAGAGTGACGCACACAGCTGGAGACCAGGGGACACTAAAGAGTGACGCACACAGCTGGGAGACCAGGGGACACTAAAGAGTGACGCACACAGCTGGAGACCAGGGGACACTAAAGAGTGACGCACACAGCTGGAGACCAGGGGACACTAAAGAGTGACGCACACAGCTGGGAGACCAGGGGACACTAAAGAGTGACGCACACAGCTGGAGACCAGGGGACACTAAAGAGTGACACACACAGCTGGAGACCAGGGGACACTAAAGAGTGACGCACACAGCTGGAGACCAGGGGACACTAAAGAGTGACGCACACAGCTGGGAGACCAGGGGACACTAAAGAGTGACGCACACAGCTGGGAGACCAGGGGACACTAAAGAGTGACGCACACAGCTGGAGACCAGGGGACACTAAAGAGTGACACACACAGCTGGGAGACCAGGGGACACTAAAGAGTGACACACACAGCTGGGAGACCAGGGGACACTAAAGAGTGACGCACACAGCTGGAGACCAGGGGACACTAAAGAGTGACGCACACAGCTGGGAGACCAGGGGACACTAAAGAGTGACGCACACAGCTGGAGACCAGGGGACACTAAAGAGTGACACACACAGCTGGAGACCAGGGGACACTAAAGAGTGACGCACACAGCTGGGAGACCAGGGGCCCAGTCCAATAGTCCATTTAGCTTAGGAACCTTCCTAACCAAGTGAAATGACCCGGAAGTCCCTCAGTGGCAGCCATGATAAGTGCCGTTCCAATTCTCCAAATGAAAGGAAAGGAGGTTTCAAGCTTCCTTTATAACCTCCTTTAGCTTAGGAACCACTGGACCTCCCTCACCGAAAGGAGAGGAGAAAATGCTGCCCCACAATGCATTGCAGCCGCAGCATTTGCCGTCACTCAACAGTCGGCCGTTCACGGACACAACCGATTATGGAAGAAATGATA